CAAAGGTACAGAGTTTTGTTTATTTTATTGGTCTTTTCATTACATGAATTTCATGTAATTACAAGTAATATCGTGTGTGAAACTCTTCAGATGGGGGTAGAAGGATGGTTATTTTTTGTGTACTCACCTGCATTAATACAGAATAAGAATCCAGTGTTTTGGTTTTTGTCTGTGTTTCATCATTTGGAAGTGATATAATGAGTGACACAAATTTCTCGGTGTGTATATATATATATATATATCTGCACCTCAGAGCCTAGTCTTTACTGCATAGGAAATGGCTGTCAGGGGAGCAGTGACTATATACTGATACAGCTGATTGCCGAAGACTTCATTGGATAGAAAAGGTGTGTTGTTTCTATGTTGAAACTTGCCATCCATAATGGAACAAAATAGAAAATAATGGTTGTCCTACCCCACTTCAGTTTTACAAAATGGTGGTCTTATATTTAGATTTATGTAGGGTGTACATATTAAAAGAGGTACAGCCCCGTTGAAGTCATCTTTATTTATTTTCAGACTGAAATCAGAATGCTGGGTGATGCAGAACTTTTGAACCTAAAGAAATCAGATATTATCCAGCTGCAGAGAAGGGGTTTTTTCATATGTGACAGCCCTTATAAACCACCAAGGTAAACACTTAAAGGCATCACAATGTGTCATTTAGATAGTAAACTAATCATACCTATCAGTAGAGAATAGAGACCTGCATGTGAAACAAAAATACAAATTTAAATATACCTCTGAATTTTCAGTGTTTCAATTATCTTTCAGTCTAGCCCAGTAACCATCTAAAATAATTGTATATAAAGCCTTAAAAGGTTTAAAACTCACACATTAAAACACACCACATAACCAGACTGCATACATTATCAAAAAAGTCCTGAATAATGGAGTCTAAAAAGATACCAGGATTTCCTTTGCATAAATGTGATACTAACATAATGTAAAGGTAAGGAAACATTTTTATGAAATGTGTTGACATTATGAGTTGCTAACAAGGCATTTGCAGTAGGTACACAGGACGTGAGTCACCACTTATTCTGTTCGCAATACCAGATGGTCACACCAAAGGGTCTGTGATCACTGCTCCAGCCAAGAAAACCAAAGAGATCAGCAACAAAGAAGTAAGTTATTTAATTGTTAAAATGCTTTATTTAGTATGTGGTAACATTTTATAATTTTCCCTAGACCCTCCAGCCTGATTCTTGAAAGGTTGCTCAAGCAAGAGCACTGTCAGATCTTTCATTAGTGACTGATTCTGTTAATGAATATTATTGAGTAATATGTGAACCTGTCTGTAATATTAGACTGTCATGTGGTTCAGTAAATTGTCCTCATTTACAACCTTGTAACCCTCTGTTCAATAAGAAAGGGTGACTGTGGCCATAAGTTTAGAAGAGGTTGAGAATCCCTGTTATAAGTCAATTGTTATGTGCCATATGTTTAAGGCCCAAATACATTTTGGGGTGTTGTTGCTAAGTATTAATTTGGGAGAAATATGCTCTTAATAACAATCATAAATATCCACAAAATATGCATGTTTCATTAGATAACATATCTGCAGAAAGTTCTATGGTTGTAATATATTACTAATATAATGACAATACAGGCAACTCTTGGTTTACAAACAAGTTCCGTTCCAAGACGTTTGTTATACGTTTTTGTTCGTTATGTGTATCTTGCATTCCTGAGCTTTATGATATGTATCATGTATGTTAGCAGCCATATTAAAGCATTAAACCATGTACTAAACCTCAAATGGTCTATACAATACAATATATTATAATAGGGGGAATCACCGATTTACTTTAAAATTTTACCAGAATGATTCTTCCTACATGGAGGTAGTGGGGCAATTTTATCCATTGCGTGAAGTGGACCCCTGTGATTTTAGGGATCCTCACCAGAACATTGATACCATGAGTTTAAATGTTCCCAAATTATTTCTGGGTATTTCAAGAATACAGACTTTTTAGTTAGTGTTGTATTTCCATTATTGTGAACATTTGCCTAATTTCCTGACTGACAAACTGCATTGTCTGTCCTTCAGAAAGCTCAGTCAGTGAAAGGAAAACTAGCAGAGAAGTCTCCTCAAGAAGAAGTTGGACCCACCATTACAACTGAAACAAGTAGACTGAATGAACTTATTGCAGAGCAAGGTGACTTGGTCAGGAAACTGAAGAGTAAGAAGGCTTCTAAGGTACTGAATCATGTTGTTTGCGCACATGCTCAATATTTGTTTAATTAATTAAGGATCATCTGGTTGCATGTTAAGTTTTGTGGAAATGGTGATGGTGTTGCTGTATTATATTTGAATTTGTTCATAGAAATAGACAAGTGGTAATATTTCAGATCTGTAAACTCCTTTTTGGACTGAAAATTGCTTCCTGCCAGATAGCAGCCTGAACATTTTAATTGAAAACAAGAATAATTTTAGCTGTTATCACAAACCTAATTTTGTGAATGGTGCTTATACCGTGTTGGAATTAATCCACCATGCAGTCACGCTTATATTTTTCAGGATGTAATTGAAACTGAAGTTAAGAAACTTCTGACACTGAAGGCTAACTTTAAGAGTGCAACAGGCATAGAGTGGAATCCAGGAGTGTCTTTTTTATCATCTGCATCGACCCCCTCGGCTGAAGTACTTAATGCCAGAATTATCGAGCAAGGCAACAGGGTACGAGAACTCAAGGCCCAGAAAGCATCCAAGGTGACCAACAGAATTTATTGAAATCATAGTAGAATAAATCATACCATGCTGGAAATTGAACCCTGGTTACTGAGTCCATAACCTAGTTACTATACTGACAGAGCTGCCCCATCATATAAAATGCAATGTTTTGCTTCCCTGTTTTGGTTTATGAAAAATCATAAGTTGTATTAAATTTGCATATTAAGAAAAGTATTTGCCAGATTGACATCTGTGGATTAGTAGTGATACTATGCAGCAACTGGATAGTACAGTATAATATTAGGTAATGAATTGGTTGAAAGTGTTTAACAAATTTAAGCACCTGGGAACAACAGTAAGTGTAAGTCTTCAGAGGTATGATGCCATGGAGGCTTGTAAGATGGTAAACTGTATTTGGAGGACAAAAGACCATGCATTAATGGATGTCTGTATTTACCATAAAAATTATCTTAATTGCTTAGTAAATATGAAGGTAACTGATTGATAGAGGCTCTTGCTATTACTGTTATGTCTTACACCTGTGTAAACTCATTATGTGTAACCTTTGCCTTTTCCCTTATCTTAAACTCATAACATTCATCTCATAATTTATAAATTTTATGTTTTAGGAAACAATTGATTTAGAAGTCAAAGCTCTTCTTGGATTGAAAGCTGAATTCAAAAGTATAACTGGAACAGAATGGAAAGTAAGTGCCCAAGTGCAAGTTAAATCTTCTTCACCAAACATCAGGGATCAACTTCTTTCCAAGATCTCTGAGCAAGGCGATAAAATTCGGCAATTGAAATCTGAAAAAGCTGCCAAGACTGTTACTGACTCTGAAGTTAAAGTGCTGCTTTCTTTGAAATCTGAATTTAAAGCTGCTACTGGAGAAGAGTGGAAGCCAGGCTTACAACCATCTGTAGTTGGTATTGCATCAGAAGAATTCCCAGGAGAACAGCTCTTTTCGAAGATCGTTAAACAAGGGAATATAGTTAGAACAGTGAAGTCTGAAAAGGCTGCAAAAGAAATTGTAGACACTGAAGTTAAGACACTGTTGGCTCTCAAAGCAGAATATAAGATTAAAAAAAGTGCCAAGCATACAAGAACCTTTGGTAGCAATGGCAGATATGGCCGGGAAGCCTGGGGACGCTGAAGTAGCCGCACTTACGCTGAAAATTGCAGATAAAGGAAATGTAGTGAGACAGTTTAAGACTAGTGGAGCAGACAAGGTTAGCACACTTTTGGTACTTTGCATACATCTCTGTTACATTATGTAAACCAGTGAACTGCAAGCAAAAGTTGATTTTCAATCTTTCTGTGATCTAACATCCCAATGTTTACATTAAAAGAAATTCACATTTTTGTTTCTGGCTGTCAGTAAAAATTTTACTTGAAATTTAATATTATTAAATGTTAGCAGTGAAACTAATATTTTGTTTCTGCTGAACACATGATTTCTCACCCATACACAGATCGAGGATAGGATGCTGAGAAGAATATTTGAACTTAATGGTGATAATTTATTCTCTTCACTGAATATTAGGATGATAAAATCAAGGAAAATTGGGCAGGTGGAACATGTAGCATGCACATGAGGAATGAGTACTTCATAAACATGTTAGTCAGAAGGGAAGTGACTACTTGGGAGATCTAAGCATTGATGGGAGGATAATTTTAGATGACTCTTTGAGAAGGTAGGGTGTGATGTGGAACAAATTCATCTGTTTTAACATGGCCCAGTGATGGACTGTTGTGAAAACATTGAATCTTTACATTCCATAAAAAGTAGGGATTTGCTGAGTAAACATCAGTTTCTTCAAAAACACTGCTGTGTTGAGTTAATTGGTTGATTGGTTACTTAGTCACAGCAAGGGGTCATCCTGTAATGCTAACATTGCCATGTGTGAAGTAGCAGACAGGGTTATGGTAGATGGTGCTGCACCATGTAATGAACTGATGCCATGTGTAAAGAAAACTACGTCATGTTTGAGTGATATTGTGTAAATGGAGAATAAGTATTGTTGGTACATCTGTTCAAATTTCTTTACAGATTACTTATCTCATGCTGTGACTTGAGAGCCCATCAGTAAATAAATAAATAAATATATTAATTGTGTATTTACTAGAATATCGTGGATGCAGAAGTAAAGCAGCTGTTGGAATTAAAGGCACAGTACAAGAAGCTGACTAGCACCGATTTCCCAGCATCAGGTGGCCAGACTTCTGGTAAGAAAGAAAAGGTGACTCCAGCCAAGAAACAATGTGAAGCAATTGTAAGTTGTTGTTATAACTGTGAATATTCTGTTCTGTGTCATAAGATAGAGCACTATATGATGTATGTGATGTGCTTCTGTAGGTTCAGAAGGATGAAAGCCAGAGTGGTTTGAAGAAGCAGACTCGTCTTGGTCTGGAGGCAAAGAAGGAAGAAAACCTATCTGATTGGTACTCGCAGGTACTGTGATCTTCATTTGTCCAAATTAATAAACTGACTGCATTGTGCAGGGTCTTCTTTAAAAAATTAATGGTTTTAGTGTTGGTCAAGAAATTCACTGGACAGTTTATTGTGATATACCACTTCATCCCTTAATGTTGTAGTTCCCTGAACATTTTAATAGTATGCTCCATCTATGCGTAGGTCACCCACGTGGGCTCTTCCCTTGAGTTTTTTCAGTTAGAATATTTTACTCTTTTCCACTGCATACATGCTGTATGTTAATACATTGTGGCTGCAAGCTGTTTCCTTGGGACTTTCTTGTTTTAGATAACATTTTACATATAATTATATCACCATATTTACACTAATATAAGCAGTGTGTTTCTTTTTTTTTAAACCTCCATAATTGGAATATTTTTTATATGTGAGGCAGTCTGTATTGTGATTGATTATAGTTTTAAACATAGATGAATAATGCTTGAAATAGAAGTAAATTGACTTTTGAATCAAGATGGAGAAGTGTTTTTATTCTAGGTATTGACCAAGGCTGAATTGATAGAATACTATGATGTAAGTGGCTGCTACATCCTGAGACCATGGTCATATGCTATTTGGGAAGCCATTAAGGACTTCATGGATCCTGAGATCAAGAAACTTGGTGTACAGAACTGCTATTTTCCACTGTTCGTGTCACGGGCGATGCTGGAGAAGGAAAAGACACATATTGCAGACTTCTCCCCAGAGGTTAATGGCACAGATTTATTAACAAAGCTGAACTACCACTGTGAGAACTTCAGACATTGCTAAACTGCTTAATATTAATAATAAATAATTACTAAAATAGTCTCTCTGGAAGTGGAACCTGAAGATCGAATATGTTAAGCAGGGTTCTCTGTCATCATGACATTGTGTGTCCTTGGGTTGTGGTCATGTTGAACAAGCAGTTACAGACGAGAGACAGGAGGTAGTCCTTATGCTTGTGCATTCACACAGGGATAACAACTGTCCACTGTAAAATGTTCAGTGTTATTAAATTTAAAATTATGTGGACCCTTTGCTTAAGTCTGTGCCCAGTAGTTGGCATTGTTACTAGTTTATTGCCAAGTTGACATCTGTAATTTTTAAGTATGGTGTATATCTTCAGATATTTAGTTCATTTAGAAATGGTGGAACAAAATCTGTAGAAGCCTTTATGTATAAATTATATATAGTGTACATTATTTTAATAACCAAACTGTATATTACATGCACAATTGTCTTGAGATGTTAGGTGAACTGATGTAACTTTTAACATATGGCATATACATCTCATTAGTCTGCTGCTTCAAGTACATAACTTTAGACATAATTTTAGATAGAAGGAAGATTCTAAGAACTGGAGGAAAACAAAGACATATCTGAAAATGTTTACCTTGGTATTGTAGGTGGCATGGGTGACCAAGTCTGGTGACACAGATCTTGCTGAGCCCATAGCTGTTCGTCCAACCAGTGAAACTGTCATGTATCCAGCATATGCCAAGTGGGTCCAGTCCTATCGTGACTTGCCCATCAAACTCAACCAGTGGAATAATGTTGTGGTAAGTATTTTTAAAATGTAATTCTGGTCCTTTTTTCATTTATCTTATTATGGTGGTCATTTTAACTATGTTAACTCAGAATGCTTGTTATTAAGAGCCCCTTGCTCTCAGTTTCTGATGTGTGTGTGGCCTGAATGGTGTTACAGAGATGGGAATTCAAGCATCCTCAACCCTTCCTCCGGACAAGAGAGTTCCTGTGGCAAGAAGGACACACAGCTCATGCGTCCTTCAAGGATGCGGAGGAGGAGGTCCATGTTATCTTAAGTAAGACTTGTAGTTCCATGCTTGTATTCCAAGTGGAAGAGTATGTAATAAACTGAAGTGCAGTAGGTGTCTCTTAATCAAAGGGGAGCTTCCGGATGTTAGAATCAGAAAGATCCAGTGAACAGTGCCCCGGAAATATTTTTCAGTGATATTTGTAATTGAGGGTCTAAAATAAAATTTGTTTAGTGAATATAATTTTGGTTTATATTGTCTGCTGTCATCAGTAGTACAGACAAAAGATTTTTCTTTATATATCATGAAAACGTGCTATATTAAAAAGGTATGAACTAAAGGTCACAGATTTTTTTATTTTTTATCTTAACTAGTTTCAAAATCTAGGATTTGAGGTTTTAATGGTGGAGAGTTCGAAGATGGCTGTTTTCTGGGTTGTAGTGCCATGTAGTCTGGTAGAAGTTTACCAGTGTTTCAGAGGTCCTTGCTGCCTCCATCATGAGAGCAATGAGTCACAGCCTGTTTTCTAACCTGTGAGGAAAATAACATAGCATAAAGAAATGTCGTAAGTGTGAATGTAAATATTAAAAAAGAAGGAACTTTTGATCGGGACATAATCTGAATTAGTTTAGTGTGCTGTGAATAAATGTATATGTATGTCTCTTTCTGCAGATTTGTATGCCGGAATCTACACAGATCTGCTGGCCATTCCAGTGATCAAAGGTCGCAAAACAGAGAAGGAGAAGTTTGCTGGTGGAGACTTTACCACAACAGTTGAAGCGTATGTGTCAGCAAGTGGAAGAGCCATCCAAGGAGCAACCTCACACCACCTAGGCCAAAATTTCTCCAGAATGTTTGAAATTATATATGAAGACCCTGAGACTCAGGAGAAAAAATATGTTTATCAGAATTCCTGGGGAATCACCACCAGAACTATTGGTATGCACCTAGGGAACATTTTCATTAACTTATTGCAAGGTGTTTAATTTACAACCAGGTGGGAAAGTATATTGCTAAGATTCGTTTTACATTTAATTTGAATATATTTATATTTCTTTCCACTCTTTTCTGCCTATTGCAAGTCCATTCCTGTCTGTTTTCCCTCTCACTTGATCACTTCACCTCATTCTAGGTCTGTAATAGATCTTGCCAACATAATAATGATTACAGTAACAAATGATGACTGTATCTGTCCCATAGGTGTGATGATCATGATTCATGCAGATAACCAAGGATTAGTACTACCTCCAAGGGTTGCATGTTTCCAGGTATGATTGTTGGGTCAATATCTTTGTGTTAGTTGTTGTTTACGAAGAACTTTTGATCAGATTAAATTTGGAATATTGTCTGTCATTCGTTTCAGAATCATTTGGCTTCCCATTTTCTGCTTCAGAACATAAAATAAAATATATGAAACTATCAGTTTACCTATTTTTTTGTATGGTCATGAGACTTGGTCTCATCCTGAGGGAAGAACATATATTAAGGGTGTTTGAGAACAGGATGCTGAAGAACATATTTGTATCAAAAGAGAGAAAGTGATAGGAAAATGGAGAACAGTTCATAATGAGTAGCTTCATAACAAAATTGTGTTCTTCATCAAATATTATTATGGTGATCATTAAGGAGACTGATGGGTGGGAGATTAGCATACATAGGGGAGATGAGAAATGTGTACAACATTTTAGTTGGAAGACTGGAAGGAAGAGACCATGTAGGAAAATTAGGCATGGATTGGAGGATAATATTGAAATTAGTCTTGAAGAAATGGATCCTAAGTTAGACTGAATTCACATTGTTTAAAATAGGTTCCTTATGAACATGATCATTGAAGGGTTTTTTAATATTTTATTTTATTTATAATAGTTAGGAAATTTCTTGACTAGCTGACTGAATTTCACTTTATCACGAAGTATCTTTTCCATGGAATTAGTTTTGGCCTATTTAATATTGCTATGTGAACTGAATTTCTTACGTGATGTCAAACAAGAGCACCACGACAGTTGCGAGTGATGGGTTGGGAAGAATGTGAATGTAGTTGTGACAGCCTGTTCTAAGGAGCTATCCCATTGCTTGTATGAAAGGGCTGTGGAAGAACCATGAAAAGCTTCTGTCAGCCCATTTCCCAGTCATAATTCAAACGAGGCACCTCTCAAATAGAAAGTGAGAGTGATAATATCTGTACCACAATTTTTGGTTAATAAGAATTCATGTAGTATTATATTCAGAAGTGACTGACTGCTTTGGTTATAGTACGATGGTTAACATTTCAGGTAGTAATTGTGCCATGTGGTATAACAGCTAGTATGAAGGAAGCTGATCGAAAAGCTCTGATTGAATCTTGTGAAGAACTGGAGAGAGCTCTGAAAGCTGCAGAGATCAGGGTCAGAGGTGATTATCGGGACAACTATTCCCCAGGGTGGAAATTCAACCATTGGGAACTAAAGGTAAGAAAACAGGTTTATGTGTATTTCAATAGTAGACATTTTCCATAAGGTTTTGCAATACCCTAGCTATTTCAGTTTTGTTTTCCCATTACATTTCCAGCCTTTCTCACAACTTATTGACACTGATGTAAGGTTTCTGAGGCAGTGTGGGGTGTGCTTGAAATGAAAATGACATTTGCTACTAATAGTAGAAATAAAGATGATGTAGCATTGCGTAAAGGTACTTACGGTTCTTATTAACAGAATTAGTCCACTATGTTTCTTGTAATTGGAGCGAAGGTGTAAATATATTGTGCAATTTCAGCAAAGCAGTCTGCAGTTGTTTGTTTGTAAAACAACAGGAAGTTGACTACAGGATCACAGCTCCACATCCAAACACTAGCATCAGAATAACCTTGGATTATTTTATATTAAAAAACTCTCTGAGAATTAGGAGTGCTTTATATTACTGCAGTTTTCTGTTTTTAAAATCAACCTCCATAGATGTAATATGCTTAATTTCCAGCTGATAAAACAGTCTATTTAATTATACCAGTAATATGTCATACAACTTTTATATATAGGGTGTACCAATCCGAATAGAGTTTGGTCCAAAAGACCTGAAGCAGAAGCAAGTAGTAGCAGTTCGCAGGGACACTGGAGAGAAGCTGACATTTCCACAAGAGACAACAGTGAATGATATTTTGCAGCTATTGGACACAATCCACAATAATATGCTGGACAAGTAAGTATGTGACTTTCTGCATGTTATATCATGCATTTCTTACTTTGTCCCTCTTGGGTTAGCTATTTCCTTTCCTTTGCTGCCACAGGCTCTAAGGCCATCCTAGCCTCCTCTGCAGTGAATACTTGAAACTGAAATAGGCAATAGTGTGAAAGAGATCACATACCTCCATCTGGATCCAAGGGCTAGAAGCTATACCTTTATACTCCCGTACACATACATTCTCTTAAGTACTTATATTTTCCTGATTACAAGTTATGCTTATTATTCCTGGTTTCAGAATGTGGATGAAATGTAAATTATCTGTTTCCTTGTGAGGTCTTTGTTCTAGTTTATGTCAGTTTGGTTTCAGTTATTTTTTCTTCTTATTTTTTTTAATCATCATCAATATAGTTATTTTCATTAAACAGAACAGTATAAAAGTTCAGAAATAGATTCTGGAAGTTTCAGTTTGCTCAGGATGACGTCCAGTGGTGGACTTTTGCAAATACAGTGACATACTTTCAGGTTCCATTGAAGCAGTAAAAGTCTTGGCTGCCAAATAATTATCAGCTTTGTATTATGGATTACTTACTTAGTATAAAAGTTTCTTTGAATCACTGTATTGTGACTGGCAATAAAGTATTTTTTGTGTTAATGTGTTACTACATTCCAACGATTTCAAGAAGGGAAGGTCCCTCACTGCATTCAGGTGTCCACACAAATGTACAGTTCAGGTGATTTGTTTTTGTGTCATGTATATAATGTATAAACTGAATCATCATGAGAAGATCATGTGAGTTCATCCATATTTCATCTTTGAATCTAATTGACAGATTTTGATGAATTTTTGTGTTAGTAGTTACACTAAAAGCTGTCAAGTAATTTTAATGTTGGTATATATTGCTTATTTGTAATACCTTCTTCACATAAAACTCATATTAATCTCTAAACTTGATATGGCACAAAATGTAGCTCTCATTAAATTTTATTTTAAACATATTTAGATCTGGTAGATATATGATACAAAACCAGCCAACTCCATGGAGCAGAGTCCTTGAGTAGCTGATAGAGTGCTCAGCTAGTAAATTCTATGAAACTTGAAGGTTTATTACATGGTTCACAACAGTTCATGACCAGTCCCTCTCATGAGCAGTAATAAACATAAAAGTATATAATTTTTAACTCTGTACATTTTAATATGTGTAGTATGACTAGCTTTACAATAGTGGAGTTATATCTTCAGTAAAGAAGCATTAAAGCCAAGGCAGAATAGGGAAGAACACATCCCCACTCTTGTATGATTTTGAGGATGAAGATAGTTCTCGAAATGTTGGTGTTTTCTTTATTAAACCACCCTACATGGCTGGTAGCTCAAGAAGAATTGATTATACATTCCTGTTCTTGTTAAATAAAGTACAAACTTTCCATTGAAACCTAAATACTCTTTAATGATAATGTACATAGGGAAGTGTTGGTATGATAGGCAATTTAAAATATCTTTCACTTTGTTCAGAGCAACGAAAGAACTGGAGTCTCATACTGTTGAATGCAAGGAGTGGTCAGACTTCTGTGCCCAGCTGGACAAGAAGAATATCATACTTGCTCCATTCTGTGGGACCATTCCATGCGAGGATTACATCAAGAAGGAAAGTGCCAGGTGAGAAGTCTGTCAGTTTCACACAACAGTTGCTCCTTGAAGCTGTATATTGTCGCTGGAGTTTCCTGTTTCCTCTATTCAGAATTGATGTTTGTGTGACACATGCACTGTAATTTTTCATGTGTTGTTTTTAACATATTTTTCTTGTGTGTACTGTCTGCCATAGTGACATTGATGACTTGAGAACTGTTTGGCTCGTTTTTATGAAACTCTGTACGGCGTCACACCAAATGCCTTCTTCTTATCCCTCCTTTATAAAGAAGTAAAATATGCCATGTCTGCCTGGCTGTTGCATCTTTCAGTTCATGAGATCTTTGTCAAATTTTGATGAAATTTTATGTGGGCGATCCTGATGTAAATTATGCAAAATGTATTTTAGTGATTGCTTTGTATTTAAATAGTTCTAGGTTCTGGACTGAATTGTGTCTTAATGTAGAATGGAAGAAATTTGGAAGCCATTGGTTGAAAGCTTTGTGCTAAAAATAGATTAATGGCGTCTAAAAAAGTTTGACACATTTGTTCATTGTAGTTTGTTCCGTTTATGATCTTATTGATTTTCCCAGATTTAGACCTCTCAGCAAGGTGGTGGATTACTTTTATGAGGTGCAAGCATCAATGAGGCAGTTTCTGTTACTGCCAGTGGCAAGAAAGATGGTCAGTGGAAAGATCTAAACCTGGACATGGCCTTGAGATCACAGGAAGAGTCCAGCATTCTTTATGTTTGCAGCAACCAGGCAGGAAAAGCGAATAATCTGCATCTACAAGAATCAAAATCAAAGTGTGCCAGGTTCCTTTGTTATATGTATTTTTTTTTCCTTGCAGGGAGGAGTCAGAACCTGGAGCACCATCAATGGGTGCTAAGAGTTTATGCATCCCTTTTGTGCAGACTACTGTTATCCAGAGCACTGACAAGTGTATCAATCCGACCTGTGCCAACAAGCCGCAGAGTTTTACACTGTTCGGGAGGAGTTACTGAATGTGGCATATTTTCTTTTAAATGTATCGCATCAAACATCATTCAATGTGACATTTGTAATCTTTTACTGAATACTAATAGATCAAATTTAATTTGTCATGTTAAGATTGTTAAAACAAGTAATTCTGCATAAGGAAATATTAGCAAGAATTATATCAGTTATGTTCATGAAAGTTTAAATTATTTCACATGATTGTTATGTTCTTGTCATCAGTTTGTATAAAAATGATCCAAGCACACTGCATAATTGCATGAGGTCTTGCATTATAAATACATTTCATATTAAATGGTGGCCCTATTCATTAAATGTGAAATTGTTTGGTGAGATGATAATCTTTCTTACTTCCATTCTGAACAAAACTTCATTAAACTTCAAAAATGAATTGGCACTTATGTTGTCAGGAACCAGCATAGAATGATACCAGTATTTCCCCAATCATAAAATGAATGATGTTCATTTAATTTGAGATCATGTTAAGGTTAATTAAATTTCAGGTAGCATAATGTAACTTGGGGCAAATGTCATTAATTTGAGTTGTCATGATAACAGTAATTTTCAGTGTGTTGAGATAAGAATAGATTATCCAAGTTACTTCAAAGTCAGTGAGGAAAAATACCAAAGTAGTCTCAGAATTACAAACCACTGGGACAAAGAGATGCTCATTACCTAAAGATGGAGAGACAAACTGTATGTGAGTCTTGAGTTTCGCTTGAGAGCAACTCGCATTTGATGTATTTATTTACAAACACATAGCGTTTCTACTGGTAATGTCTTAAAAAATACGTAGATCGTAAAATTAATAAATTCATACATTGTGAACGCCATACGCCAAAATTGTTAAACAGTTTGCCTACATATTAGGCGGACACAATGGTCCTTTGCATGTACTTTGGGGAAAATGGCGACTTGTATTCGGGGAATAGGACAGCTAAAGAGGTACAAGCCCGATATAACCATAGAATGTAATAAATGTAAACAGTATGGATCATCTATGGTATGGACTATTGCTGCTCTCTCGTGATAGTATCATAACCTTGTGGATAGTATTTCCATAGTTATTGAAAGCTGACCTCGTATGACTGTTCTAGGTACTATGATATGTGAGATTTGAGGTTCTCAGGCCCAAAGATAATACAGTGCCCACGACGGCGAGTATGTTGGTACTATCTGTGGCGGCGAGTATGAAGATGGCTGTTATTTGGAATATTGCTGTGTAGTCTGGTGAAAGCTTACAGGCATTGTAGTCGTAGCTGGCTGCTTACATCATTTCTGTATCATACTATTGACGACAACCTTCTTCCGGTTTTCTGTACAGCAAATTAGACATGAGGTAAGACAACAAGAATGACGCTGTTATATTTATTGAACATAGCAGTTATAATCTAAAGAATAAATACATTATTATGGATGCCATCGTTGGAGGCCAATGTATTTTATTCCCAACGATGGATACATTATAGGGAATATAATTCATCAGCTGCTCTATGATTTCAGCTTTCAAGGTTTAGCTTTGTCATGCCATTCATGGTGTATATATATATAGCAATAGAGGAGGCGGTGTCCAATGATTCAGATGAATGTAGCATAACTTAAGGATATTATCATCTGTTGTATAAAGAAATTGTCTCACAGTAATGTAGAATATCACTCAACCTAATGGAATAATAGCAGTGCATTGCTTTAGCATGCAAAATATGTCACTCATTTGCCTTTCTTCAGGATTCATGGACATAACTCACTCTACTGTTATCAATGTGCTATAGTGCCATCATAACACAATGGTTCTAACATTATTAAAACTTGAAAACCTGTGTGATCAAGCAGAATAAAAGTCAGACTTTGAAAGCTCTTGGGTTCAAACTAGTATATATTGCAGAATTATTAGAAAGTTTTGTCTACTCATGGAGTGGAATAAAGTGATGTACGTCACATTATCTTGACACTTGGTGTCTCAGTTGTAATGTGCACAAGAAATTGAGGTGATCACAAGCAAAGAAAAAATTATTGAATATTTAATATACAAGAAAATGATCCAGAATTGTTTCTCTGTGTGTGAAAGGTTAATGCACGATATAATTCTGTATATAATGAAGTAGTTTTATTTTTGTTACTGATTTTTCTAACCATTTGATTTTACTCTTTGCAATTGTTGTGCTTGTATACTACCTGAAATGAAAGCACCATCTCTTTCTTCTCAGTTTGATTGATGAATGTGAATTATTTGTTTTATAAATGTAACTGTATTTGAATAGAGATCTGACATTGATAAATCAAAGTAAATACACAGTCAAACACATTTCAATTACTTCAAGTATTGATGAGGTAATGTTTATATGCTTTTGCTTAAGTTAGTAGGCAGCTACATTGAGATTCATTACAAATATTTCTGCATTCTTTTTGGGTGAAACTTAGTTCAGAATTACATAAGAAATGTATGTTACTAACGCCTGTGGTTTTAATTACCTTCACAATTTGTTCTCTTTGTCTCATATTGTTAGGGTGATTAAGTTAAGGATGAATGGGTGGGATGCATACCATCCGTAAGGCAAGAAATAGATATTCACCCAAAATTTTGGTTGGAATACTGAAGGTAAAGAAGAAGCTTATTAGACTTAATCAAATGTGGAAGGATGGTGTTAAAATAGGTCTTGAAAAAATAAGTTGTGAAGATGTAGGATATATTCAACTGGTTCTCAACAGAAACAGACAATGGAATTTTGGGAATATAGTGCTAGAAATCCAAAAGTAGCAGAATAAATAAACAGCTACTGAAGGAAGATCTGTCACATGTAGTTGGACTATACATTAACCATTGCAGCTAAATAATAAAATGAACAGGATTCAACATTCATTTATTATCTTATTCAAAATACAACAAATAGATACAAAGTTTATTTAGTTTCAAACCAGGTACCCATATGACCTGTTAATCTAGCAATGTCAGCGGTAGCAAGAGATGTGAAAGTTTGCAGAGATGAAAAAAAACTGATATTTTTTATATGCGGAAGGGCACAGCTTGACATTTTGAAATTAACTTGCCAACACGTGTAGCAAATCAAGGTAACTGTAAGTTGTGGTGTAAATATGTGACATGGGCCATGAATGAACTTATAATTTGGAACACTGAATGCTGCCAAGTTGCAGGTCTACAAATTCAAACATCTATGAATGCATACTCTACAGACCACTGCAGCATCTAACTTTGTTAAATGATCACATTTCATTGCATAAATTCATTTCCTGATAAAACTCTAAAGGATATACTAGAGAGAGTAACCTTTTGCAAGACAAAACTGTCCAGATGCCCAGTTGTTCACACTGAAATTTTTCATACCTGTAAGGTGAAAAGCATACCAAATATGCCCTTCCGACCTTCTTTACGATACATTTTTGTGCTTATGCAAAGCTTGTACCACTTCAACAACATGATTTCCATAGTGATCAAGTTCATTTTATCTCTTTCCCACACACATGCATGCACATACACTATGTTTCTGCCTTATGTGTCAACGTTGCTTATTTAAAATATGGGACACAGTAAGTTAGGTAAATCATTCTGAATTGATAATTTAAACTTCAAGCTTACTAAAGATAATGAATAACATTTATTTTCTCTTTAACCAGAAAATTGAAGACCTGTTTATAATTTATAAAGACAACATTACAGCAGTCAGTCTATAATTTACAAGAAAAGGTAATTTACTGATAAATTAAATATGTTTATGTCCTATGAATTGTATGCAAATAATCTTAAAACTTTGCATACTGTGTAGTGTGTTAGAATATAAATAAGGAAACAAACAACTATTAACACTATAAAAAGTTGTCAGTGGAACCACGGTTCCGGAGAATTTGACGTAAATACGTCTATACAGAAAGGAAGTTTATATATTGGCTTTATTCTAAATATTTCCTTCATACATGCTTTACATTTGAGATAAGTTTGATTAAGACATTGTTTATTTAACTTGAATTAGTTACGCTTAAGATGGGTCTGTGGTAGCTGAATGTAATGAAATGTAATGTAAGGTAAGGTAAGGCAATGTAATGTAATGTAATGTAAGGTAATGTAATGTAAGGTAAGGAAATGTAATGAAATGTTTTATAGGTAACAACAATGCCAAGTAAACAGGTGACGTTTCCTAGGTAACAAAAATGCTGAGTAAATAGATGTTCCTTAGGTAACCATTATTGTCGATTTGTTGATAAACAGATGAAGTTTCCTAGGTAACCATTGTTACACTTTTTCCTTTCACTTTTTCATTCCACTTTTTGCCGAATGACACTGACCCTAAAATATAGACATATTTACATCAAAAAGACACTATTGCCAGACTCGTTTCAACCTCAAGAGGTCATCATCAGTGGCATCAGGGAAATCAATTCATTTAATTAAATGGCTCAAACTTGATTTAGAAAATAAATAATGAATAGGACATTTGACAAAAAGTATTTTAAGCGACACTGCACCAGATGTTGTTATTCATAGGAATAGACTCTGCACTTAGCTATTTGTCGGGTGGCCGTAGCTGTTCTGGAGTTCACAGGTACGGACGACGCAACTACAGCTTGTCGCAGACCAGCTACGGCCACCAGACAACCGGATAAATAGCTAAGTGCAGAGTCTATCCCTATGAATAACATCTGGTGCAGTGTCGCTTAAAATACTTTTTGTCGAATGTCCTATTCATTATTTATTCTCTAAATCAAGTTTGAGCCATTTAATTAAATGAATTGATTTCCCTGATGCCACTGATGATGACCTCTTGAGGTTGAAACGCATATGGCAATAGTGTCTTTTTATAGTGTTAATAGCTGTTTGTTTGCTTATTTATATTGTATGCAAATAATTATGTATTTATCTCTTCACAACTGGTTTACAGAAGGTAACACTGCATCTATGAAATTCAATATGAGAACAAAACTATGTTTAAAGCTGCTGTTTAATAGAAAGTTACAATGCATATGTTTACATATTCAGTACATTCAATGGTTTTTTGACTCTGCTCTTTTTTTCTCAGAGGGATATTTTATTTTTCTTTTGGAGGCTTCTTCTTTCTTTTCTTTGTCAATTCGTGCATGCTCTTCCTTAACAAGTGTGCTCAGCTCATCCTAATAAAAAAAAGACAAAGTTCATAATTTTACAAACATACTTCTGAAATGGTACAAACAACAGTGCAATTTAATGCAGAGCCCAACATTTTACATGGTTATTATTTATATATCTTGAAGAATTATGTTAAGTTTTACAAGTCAAACTAAAAATTAATTCACTACACTAAAGCCTTTTAAAGAATTATACCATCATCATCAAAGGAAGCCATGCATCACAAGTTCTTTCAAAATTATTTCTTGTTCTCCCAGGTCAGTGCCTGGTGCAAGGCAGGAGTTCAGTCATAGAAACAACATTTAACAAATATAGCCATACATAATATAAGTAGGTGAACAGAACAATAAGACTTCATATTGTGACTGTATGAAAATTCATTGGGTACTAAAACACTATTTACTTTCAAACCAAGAGATGGAAATTGAACTTCCATCAAAATATATTTTGTAAGTTCTGTTACAAAAACAAAATGAAAGTTAAAATTTAATAAGCAATTGTACTGAGAGGTTCAAAAAAGATAGTGTATGACAATACATCACAAATGCTAATGTACACTATTTCACAAGAACTCACCCCCCAGCCAAGTTTATCTGACAACATCTGACATCCCTCATCACAATCTCCCAGCCATGCCACATCTCGAAAGTTGTCATCCGAGTCAAAGTCCATACCACTTCCCATTCCCAACAGTGTCATCAGCCGGTCTCTCTGACCAGCTTTCTCGCGATTAATCAGCAAGCGTGGACATTCTTTTGGCACTCTGTTATAAAATACAAAATATCTAAATCAAAAATATGTGACTATAACAATGAAATTCTTTGTAATAATTCAGAAATATTACCAAAACTGCAGTCAGAAATCAAACTCAATTTAAACAGTACAGTTATAGAGACTGTTAGTGTATAATGTTTATTACTTTGTATAAAGGTAACAACAAAATGTAATGGACATAGGGCAGAGTGCCACAAAATGTGTATTCCGTACAATAAATAAAGTGTGTGTACTACTGACAGATAAAAATAAGGATTCATAAATGTCTGTAAGTAATTGCCACTTTGGATCTTGGAACAGAAAGAAAAGCTATCTAATATAATCTTATTTGCACTAAAAATGTCTATGGTAAAGATAATACAGTCAGAACCTGTACAAAATTCAATACCAACAGACACAAACCAAAGTTTATCATATGAAATTTGCCTATAAGAATTCAAAAATGTACATTATAAAAGTTTACCTGTCTATTAAAGATGCAAATGGTTGCACAGCAAGAGATGAACCTAAGATGATCAGCAAATCACACTTAGAGAAATCTTTTTCATTGCAGGAAAAGAAGCGTGTTGGTAAATTTTCTCCAAAGAAAACTATATCTGGCTTTACAACACCATTACATTTTTCACAAGTGGGAACTGAATCAGAGAATATTTGTTCTGAAAGAAAACATACACATTAACTTATAAAATACAATATATTTAAGCAAATGCATAAGTTAGAATATTTTGACCTTAGATATGTAACTCTTGACTTTAACAGTAAGTATCCAATGATTTGAAAACTGTTTTCTTCTGTTCCGTACATCAGACATATTGAACTTACCATAAAACTGTATCTCTAAAATAAACTGAATAAACCTGATGATTAATAATTTTTTAGATCAGCTTTTCTCATATAGCCACCATATACTTTTACTGCAGTTGTAGATACACACTACAGCCATAGCAATCTAAGAATAAAATTAAAATTTCTATAATACTCTGATGTTACTATACTAGGATTCGTAGTTCTTGATGTAGAGGTGTATGATATGCAAATGTAATTATCATGTGCACTAAGACAAATGATCTACGATTCAAACACACAGTATCTGTAGGTAAGAGCACAGTGAGTTCCAAATGTGCAGTAAATCCCATTCTCTTGGCCCTAGCAGTGAAATAGAAGCCTTAGAAATGCTAATGCTGACTATTAAAGCCTAGTGTAATAAAATAAAGACTTTAAAACTACTCAGCTGGGGAATAATGGAAGTAAATATGACAATGAATTATATGGCTGACAGAACTCACACTTATTTGCCTATTTCAAGAACAGTCAGTAGATCTACCTTTCATCCACTCAATTTCATATTCTTGTTTGCATTCAAGACAGTGAGATGTATGGAATGTTCCATGAGCCTCCACAATCTTCTCTGCAGGTAGGCCTGCTACTCGCTCCAGTGTGTCAATATTCTGTTTTACATAAAGGGCAATTATCAATATGGAATAACAAACTATTTGAGTAACAAATTTACTACTGTTAAAAGTTCTAGATATAAACATTTAAAAACCTGTGTATAATGACGACGTAGCAGGCCCTTCTCGTTTAAAAGTCGTATGAAATAATGGGATGTAGTTGGCTTAAAAGAACCAGGATACAGTTCCTTGGCAAGAGTGAAGAATGGTTGTGGATTACGCTGGAAAAAGCCTATCTCAAAGATTGCTTGCGGATCGGGTAATTTGTACTTCTCTAAGTTGTGGTAGAGGCCAGATCCTGGGGAACGGAAATCAGGAATACCAGCAGCTACACAATGAAAGAAAAGGCAATGTTAAAAACTATTATACTATTTTAGTATTTGAAGTAGTTCTTACTACACATACCACCTAGTTTAACATTTAGTAACTCTGCATTTTGCCCACAGTGTGTGTACATATGGGTTTCATATGATTCACAGAGCAAACAGTGATTATTTCCTTAAACAAAATTAACTAATTGATAAGTGTTGTTTTATTTGTGGTATGGACTGAATTTTTAAATATCATTCAGATGACCTTCAACTTCAGAAGTTTGAGCTTCAATAGGTGTAATGCCGGGTCTACAATTTATGAGGCTGTGGTCGTGCTTGCATTGCGTGGTCGGCCGGCGCTCTGTTGATGTGGGCGGAAGTTGTGCGCGTTCTTCCGGTGGGTGACCGGCGAATCAGTTTCAGTGCCGCTAGTAACAGTGAACTACGATATTTCTCGTCACTAATACATTAATTGTTCTTACCTTAAATCTCAAAAGATGTTCAAAGTGACTTACTTGTGCTTGCAGGCAAGCTTCACATCTCGTTAACATGTTTCGAAATACTCAACGAAGCTCTTCTTGGGAAATTGCCAAATATTTTCTTTAAGTGCTTCTGCAGTGTGCGGATTGTTTATATAAACTTTGTTCTTCAGTATGCCCCACAGGTAAAAATCGCAGGGTTTAAGTCTGGGGAACGCGGAGGCCACTGATCGATAACTTGTTCACCAAGCACTTCTCTTAATGCTAACATCGACCGATCAGCTGTGTGAGCTGTAGCAGTGTCTTGCATGAAGAAACCGTAAGTCTTTTCTTCGTCGGTCATTTCTTGGAAAAAGGGTCTAACTATTAAATTTACATAACATTCACAATTTATCTGCACACTTGAATGCCACTCTACCAAGAACCTTAATGAAGCAATGGTTACACTTTGGTGTCATTCACATCAGTCTGTTATAACAGTTCTGCAGATCGCAGTCTTCCATGGTTCTATATTTGACTGGTAACAAATTCAGGTCACTACATCCGATAATATCTTGTAAAATTACTGTATTATTATTATTTACTAATATTGAATATATGTCAAAACTGTGAAAATGCAATGGCACTATATCATTTATGGTACATAAATGAAAAATTTAATGTAGTACTGCCTCATATTCATAAAACAATATAAAACATAATTTCACTTACATGTGGATATACCAGCTCCTGCCATTGTGATTACATTTTTGCAGTTCCCATCTTGAATGTACTTTATAACACCATCAACAGATGCCTCTGTTAGCACCTGGAAGCAATTTTCGACCTAAGTATGACTATACGGAAGGGTCATTTGGCAAAAAAACATAACGTAGATGTGTAAGATCCATATCAACAATGTGTAAATATGGATCAACAAGAATGATCACATTTTATATGCGTACATTGTTATGTTACCTAAGAAGCTAATTGCTACGTCATGTTTACTCGGTATTGTTGTGTTACATTACATTCAGCTACCACAGACCCATCTTAAGAGTAACTAATTCAAGTTAAATAAGCAATGTCTTAATCAAACTATTTACTCAATTGTAAAGCATGTATAAAGGGAATATTTAGAATAAAGCTAATATATAAACTTTCTTTCATTGTATTTATTGCCTAAATATAATTTAAATACAAAGACGTATTTACGTCAGATTCTCCGGAACCGTGGTTCCACTGTCAACTTTTTATTATTATTACTTTAAAAGTTAACAGTTGAGCCTATCATGACCAAGCAGTTTCAATTATTCGTTTAATTAAAATAAATATCTACAATCAGAAACAAATTGATAATGAAAGTGTGGCACTCACTTGCAGCAAATCTTGCCTATCTGTCAAGCACTACCTGTCTTAAACCTGGATGCTACTCAAGTATCCACCAAACAGCATGAAATTTGGACAGAATACCTCTGAAGGTGGGAAAAAAGAAAAAAACATTTTTTCTGAGGCCACAATCAAACCCCTATCTCTGAAATGCTAAAGATATGTATTATTACATGAAGGTTACTCTTATTTAGAGAGATCCTTGACCACTAAGCCTACGATACAGTAGATGTCAAAATGTTTCTACCCACTAATAAATAGCTTTACTACCTGTATACCTTAGCCTTTCCTTCTGATACTTCTTTCTTTTTATCCTCATAGAATCCTAACTTCTCAGCCAAATATCTTCGAATCATCTCAACTGCTCCTTCATCTTCATTGTTCCGCTGAAGCCCAGCTTTAGATGAACTGCCACTGCTCACACCACTTGCAGATTCTTCTTTTTGAGGTCCATCCCCTGCATATATTATCACTTATCATAGCGAAAAACTTCTTTTAAGTGATTATAGTACATACGTTTGAATTTCTTACCGTCTGTCACTGAAGACGCCATGAACGAAGAACGAAAATACAGCTCTTGTTTCACTTGTATTACTCTAATGTACTTCAATTTATAGTTGTGAGACCACCAGCAGCATTACAAATCATACTTGGCCTCACAGTCAGGTAGCCGAAAAATTACGGAATTAATTGGACACCATTACTTCACAACACCACAGAAGACGATCACAGACAATTACTAAGTGACTTAGTATTCTCTCTGCTATAGAACCATCGGCCGTTGTGTTGGCATTATGAAGGGAATTTGAGATAAATGTTAAGAATATATGTTGGTTAATAAGTCAAATCAGCAGACATTTATGATTATATTATATTTGCTATCTTTAAAATAATTTATCATTTATAGACTACTAATAGGTAATATCACATTGGTATTTTCTATTAATTATTTACTTGCGTCCTATCTTTGCAGATTTGATTATAGTAGTCGATTGTAAAAGGAGGTACTATAGGAACATGTCGGCGTAAAAGCAAGCAAGTAGCAATCTAAAGGAAATGAATTCGGCTGATTGTCGCGTGGCTTGTGAAGTGTGTGGTGTGACAGACAGAGTACTCGTCTGTTCTCGTTGTAAATGTGTTTATTACTGTTCGAAAGCACATCAAGCACTGCATTTTAAGAAACACAAAACATTTTGTATAAAACATCGAGTTGACAAGAAGAGAGAACGTGATTATAAATCGTCTGTAGATTCAAAAATTGTTTCAGTCATTGAATCAAAAAACGAAGGAATTGTCACAAAAAATGCAAGGAATAGCAAACGTGAACTACAAGTAAGTGACATTACTGACACTGCGGAGGTTGACAGAAGCGAAGGTGCTGTTGCTGGGAACATCAGCCCAATTACATACGAAGGTAGTTCTGAGAGTGAGATTCTTAATGCGGTAACAGAAATTTTGAGCCCTACACTCGATTTTGTTACTAGCTTGTCAGATGATTCATTGGATAAAAATATTGCACCCTTAAATGATATGCCTTCACAAGAAAGGGAAATTGTTAATGCTCCTGTGAAAACAAATGGATTTAGAGCTTTTCCAGAAATCAGTTTAGTGGATGTTAATCCTCTTCCGCCTTTCTTGCATAGACAGAATAGGGACAAACAGTTAGAGGAAGTTTGCATAAATGTTATCAGAGACATGGATACATATGGTGTTTGTGTCGTTGATAACTTTTTGGGACCTGACATGGGGATGGCAGTATTGGATGAAGTTACAAGCATGTACAACAAGGGTGTTTTCAAAGATGGACAGCTAGTAAGCAACAGAGCAAGAAATGACTTGAAAACAATTCGTGGTGATCAAATTGCATGGCTGGATGGTAAAGAAAGCTCATGCAAGAACATTGGTTTTCTGATCAGTCAAGTTGATAACATCATAGTCCGTGCCAATAATATGAGTGGTAATGGAAAAATGGGTGACTACGCTATCACCGGGAGAACAAAGGTATGTTCTGCGTGTATATAACATTATTTCAGATCATGAGTTTTGTAACGCAATCCATGTAACTTTGTTTATTAATGCCTTGTTATGTGTCTATATGAATTTGTCTTCTACTGCTCATGGATGAGAGTGTGATGTCAGATACTAGAGTCTGGCTGTTAATTTGTTAACATTTTTTATATTAGGATAGAAGCCACCATAACAATGTGGAGACCTGATTCCAGCTTATAAAGTGTCTTGGTTCTGTTGAAGAATTGCATTATTTTGGAAACATTAATGCTTGTTGTAGCTTCTGGTAAAAGACTTTCTTTATTTGAATTTTATGTCTAAATTTTGTATCCCACATATGTTCCATCTGTAGTTTGATTAGTGTGACTAGATGTTCTGTTTGTAATTGACTGCTATTTAATCAAATGTTAGGTAGACAAGTGACGTTCACTTGGGGTCACATCTGGGCTTTTGGGACAACAATGGTCACTAGAAAATTAATTCCCCACACTTTTATTTACTTTTTTTCAATCTAGTGGTATGGTTATAATTCTGTTTACTTGCAAAATGTTTTGACTTACTGCATTACTTGTGAGCTGATTTCTGTTTTTGTACAGGGGACATTGATGCTATTATTTGAGCATGCTATTGCTTCAGTATATCCAAATTTGGTGATGGGTTAATCTGTTTCACCTTAACTGACCTAAGTTTACATTATATTTGGTTTGTGTTGGTGTAGAAAGCATAAATAGATGGTAATTATAGGGATGAAAGAAATCTCAGGTGTTATGGCACCTGCAGTTTGTGTTTGGTACATAGTAATTTCTGTAGTTCTAAGTTCTCTTGTCATGCATGAAAAATTTTAAGTTTGCAGATTATAACTCTGATTCCTTTGTATAGGATGCAGGTTCAGCCAGTGGCAAAGCTTTTTGAAGTTTGCAGTTATGACGTCTTGACTGGCATACCTAGTGGCTTGAAAATGATTGCAGTCAGTATGTGTATGCGCATTACAGAGGCAGCCTCTATGATGGATTATTGTTAACACTTTATTCCAAATATGCCAAATGATGCTTTTGTATATTAATTGAGTCTTTTATCAAGGTTGAATATTATCATTTACCACCCTCTGAGATATCTTTTTCATATTGTGAAATTTCTGTGGAAACAACTACAGACTAAAGTAATACATTTCTGTTCTTTGGATATGTTTTCTTCTTGGCTCACAATTTTTGGACTTGGTACATAGAACATTTGTTGAAGTGTGATTATTATTGAATAGAATATATTTACATTTCATAGATCCATTATAAGCCAAAGTCAAGAATGTGGAACAGTCATAGCAGAAGTACAATACTTGTTTCTAATGCAAATAAAAATTACATAGTTATGACAGAAATTTACAATCAACTGAGGTATTACCACAAAAATAATTATACAAGGAACCATAACTTACTGCTGCTTACATGTATTTGTAATAGCTGAGAATTTTTGGTTGAGATAAAGTCTTATGTGGCATAGAAGGAGTGAGATAGGAGATACTCTTTTAGTGCCAGCTTAAACTTCCTTATGCTGTGATTCATACTTTTATAATGGGAAGGGGGGGGGAGATTATTGAAGAGCTTAATTCCAGAATAGTAAGCTCCTTTTTTATATTTACTGTTTGGTGTGTGAAGGTCATATCTGTATCTTATACTTATATTGTGGATATCTGAGTTTGTTTTAAACTTTTCTGTTGTCCACAACAAATGTTAAGAATGAGAACAAGAATTTGCTGGCTAGTGGAAGAATATTAGTTTTCCTACACAGTTCCCTACATGAAGCTCTCCTTTTACTGCCTGTCATTATTCTAATGATTTTCTTTTGAATTTAAAATACTTTTTTGCTGTCTGTTTCCCCAGAAAATAATTCTGTGACATGATCAAATAGAAGCAAGCAGACTAATTTTAAAGTTCCTGTTTTCATGTGCTAAGTGACAGCCCACATAGCAAAGCTTAGTTTTCTTTGTATGTTTTGTTGTATGTTAGGTTTCATACATTTTATCTTTTTTTGCTAAAGTTCAGACTGTATAAATTCTTTTTTGTTCTTAAAGTGAAATAAATTTCTGTTTTCATTGTTTGATTTAGTGGTCATGGGGTTTATTTTCTCTTCTGCATACTTTGTTAGAATCAGAATTACAGTTTATAGATCATCTAATAGGACTTTTTTGTCTTTTAAAATTACCATTGTACCCCAACAGGTAGTTTCACTCAGTGAGGAGGCACTGGGCTGGACTGTAACTTTAATGAAAAATATGTACAAAGTTTAATTTTTAACTTTCTGTTCAGTTACACTAACATGATTTCATCCTGATCAGTTAAATTTCACAAGTTTGATTTATAATCAGGTATTACAGAGAGATGAAATTGGCTTGACTGGAAGATCCTACAGGTAGCTGACCCTAAACAAAGCTGTGGGAGCATGCATTGATTATAGTGTTTACAAACGCTGAGTTTATTGCCGCTCGGAGGAAGCATTGCAAAAACATTGAGAAAGATTTTTTTAGGGGTCAGGAGGTACTGTAAAGACTTTCCATACATTGTATTCATCTTGATTAGTTTATGAAAATGTATGGCGGATAGAAGTGCCGCATACTTTGGAAACCGCTAGGCTATTTGAAAAAGAATAATCACTTCAGGAGTAGTGAACCTCACATTTGTTAGAGACATAGTTACATCCTCATTATGTGAAGTTGCTTATTTTGTAGGTGGCCAGTATCAAAATAGTATCAGCATACCAGCATATTAAGAGACTTCATATTAAAAGTGTTGTTCATCAGTTAAAAATCACCATATTCCAAAGTGGGCTGAGGTACATTGTGGTTTGTGACGGTAAAGGCCACGTTTGTGTCGCATTGCAGGTAAACTACATTTGCAGCAGTGTCAGTTCTAAAAATACATGTGTAACGAATACCCATTGCGTCATTTCTTTAATATTACATACGCAAAGCGAGAGAGAGTAACCAGTAGAGAATCACTTGTGCTTTTCTACATAATTTATGTGCCCAGGCTGTTATGATCAAGACATGGCTTTTGGCAGCTGAAGCAACTTAAATTCCGAAACATGGAAACATCGCAAGTTCGTCCTCGTTTTGCGAATCTCAGGTACGCCATAATGCAGTCATTTTATCTGACTCCAGGGTAGGGACGATAATGAATGTTCGGGTTCCATAAAAGGCGGAGAATTTCTTAACTTGTTTTACGACATTTGCTTTTGCATCGCAAGAAATTCTTGGCTGCAAGGAGTTGGTTTTATAGGCGTTCTCAAGTTGAGTACGCTGTTCCACCGAGAAAGATTCCTGTGTCAGGATCATTTCAGGCTGAGTTTACACGACCACGACGATGAACTTCGCCTGGAGTCTCTTCTCTTGGTTACCAGGGATATAAACACTGGCCGTAGTGACTGAAACCTTCCGACTTGGAACCAGTATCACTTTCCAGACGCCATTTTCGCCATCGAATCTGATGTGGCGAATATGGTGGGTGGTCCATCGTGAGTTCGCACATCACCTTCTATTAAACTAGCTCTTGAATCGACTTTCTAGTACCGACGAGATAAAGTTACCACAGTAGCAGCTATAGGCGTCTCTCACTGGCTTGTAACGAATGGAAGTCTGCAGTAAAGTCTTATTTTTCATAGTTCTATTTTTTGTGTATTTAATAACGTGAATAGAATGGATGTGGGAGGAAGCGGTCGTGGCCAAATTAAAGGTACAGGCAGTTGTATGGAGGGAATGAGTAAAACCACGAAAAACCCAAACCAGGGCAGCCGAGATGTTACCACGAAGCCTCCGAGTGCCAACCACTCTCACGTAGCGTTCGTACTCATCAGAATGTATGGTACATTATGTGTGCATATTTTAGTGTTCTTTGTTGGAAGTACACAAAATTATTGAATAATTGGTGGGGGGCGTCTGTCGACATGTCCGCACGATTTATTTCAGAAATTTCTAAACAGATTTAGATCAGATTTTGTATTTCATTGTATAAAGAACGCATTCAAATGAAAAGCCGAGTAGAATTTCTCTGTAATTGTAAAGAAGGGAAGAAATTGTGAAATACACTTGAATTTCAGGTGCGTCCGTAAGAAAGTTCCCTCCAAGTATCACTTCATAATCATGTTGTATTTAATCACTTCAAGGTTTTCGCGAAGGCGGTAAATATACATAAATAAAAACTATATTAGAAGGGCAGAAGATAATCAGTTTGTGTGTTTGATACATTGGCATGCGATATATGCAAGTGTTTTCCTCCTGAAGAAAATTGTCACGGTTTGCAGAAAGTGTTGGGATGTTCTTTACAATTATACACATATCTATCACCGTAGACGTAGTTTGTTAGATTATTTGCTTACTGCTTAGAACATTCTGCGTTTCGTATTCGTAAACAAGTGCCTGACTCCTGTTTCAAATCTGCAAGTCGGAAAACTGAATAGTGTAGTTGTAATGTGTGAAGACTACGTGAATATCTGCAGGGGTCCACACTTAATTTTTTAGGAGCGTAATTGTAGCTCTGCTTGAATTTTTAATGTGATGTTTGTAAGTTATTATTTTATTCTTGTTATCAGTCTGTTGAGTTTCGTAAAGCAGCCGAGTCCGAAATTATTGATTGTTTCTTGGTTTATTCAGTAACCATCTTTCAGCTTCACGGATCACTTAGCGTGGACTGTTCACGATGAATTGTAAAGGAGGTGGAAGGAACCTGCCGTGGCCTGTTGTATGGTACTACGCAAGTATGTGCTTGAGAGGGTCTGAGGAAAGCCGGGAAAAAACTCACGATATTCGGGTCTCCGGCCCGATAATCCACGACCTCCCGAATATGACGTGGGAGTCTTTACCATTCGACCTTGCCGTTCGGTAGTGCATAGTTTAAATGGAATACGTTCCTTGAGGCGGTTAATTAAATTTAGAGAGATGGATCAGTGGGTGATATCAAAACAGAATTAGGTGATAATGTCCAGTGGTGGAATGTAGTGGACGT